TATGAAAAACGATGAATAGAAACGGACTCAAACTACTGCCCTGTGGCAACCCTATGTATAAATAAAAAGCCTTAGATCTCATATCGCCTAAGATAACATACGCTTTTCTCTCGCTTAACCAGGAATGCACAATTTTTAACAGCCCTAATGGCATTCCTAACCTAAATAGTTTTACAATAAGAGCCATATGCAAAATTATCTTTTCGCCAAAATGTAGCTCGCGCTCTCCACTATCGATTGATGTAGTTTTCATATTTTGTCGGTGCTTATACAGGGTAAAAAAAGGTTTTTATCAAACTGTACGAAAATTTTTGCCGACCGGAAAACGTTCACTTTTCGGTGTAATGAGCCTACACAGAACAGCAATGAAAAGGACGCGGGACGATACGAGCTAAAATCGGTCCACGCTCAAATCAGTCTTACGTTAACTCATCTGATGCAGTTTTTGTCAGTCAAAAACAAGGCAATTCTTGTGATTATGACACACTGTGCTGCCTAGATAACACCCAAAAGTTTCTTTTCCATATGTTTAATGACTGGCCCCACCTGTCTGAATATTGTGACCAGCTCACTTTGTAGAGAATTTCAACGGCTATCCAATGGTATGTTTTCGAAAAATGCATCATTTTTCGTTATGGCAGAAAAACGACTAATGGAGTGTACAGAACACTAAGATGCTCTATCGGGTGATATATAAAATGGAGTGGTTAACGAGAAAATTAGTCACCGTTATAAACATGAACGACGTTCAATTGCTGGTTTGGGATGCTACCGAGTATTTCGGATCTTAGACTACCCAGTTACATTTTCTTAAGATCATCTTATATAGCTTCTTGTAGCCCCAAATTCTCTATCGAATGATCTATAAAGTGGAGTTATTCACGAGAAAATCGATGCATATTATAAACATACACGACGTTGGCCAGCCGGTTTCCTTGAAAGCTATCGAGTATTTCGGATCTTACATCAAACGATTAATTTTAAGTTTGAAATAAAAAATGAAAACAAAACTGAGATATTAGAAAATAAATACATAAAATGCAATAAAATATATTTTTAATAATGTGAAATAAGTTCATAGATAAAAATATTCATAATTTTATTTTATTTTTATTGAAACTCTATTGGTTATTTTCTTTTTAATTTTAGATTCATATGTAAAACAGCCATTATAATAACAATTTATAATTCTTTTATTAAAATTTTTCTAGATCTTCAACATCATCCAGCGAAATGTATAAATTAGCAATGGCAAAATGAATTCACCGAGTTCAATTCAAATTTAAAGAAAATATCTGAAGAAAGTAGAACTATACAAATGAATACAGTGACAATTGAAGAAGAATATCAAAATATCAAACTAGAACAACATATTGAAAAATTTCCGTTAGGTGAACTAAGTTTATGATGTATGAAGCTTACCGATGAAGAGGTACCCATAATCATCGAAAAAGCTTTAAATCGTGGAAATGATTTAATTCAATTACATGGAAATAATCTAACATTTAATGGCATAAAAATGTTAACTGATGTGTTGAAAACAGATACAGCTTTACAAAACGTTTTACTTTCAAATAATCCTACTATAGGTGATAAAGGTATCGACTATTTAGTTGATTTATTCAGGAATTACAATCGAACATTGAGAATGCTTGATTTAGATAAAATTAATTTAACTGATTGTGGTTTAGTATTACTCTCAGATGCTATTAAAGCAAATATCAATCTTAGGAACTTGCATCTTGGTGAAAATAACTTTACCTATGATGGTATAAAGATACTTGCAGACGCATTGGAAACAAATTCGACTATTAGTGATTTAGATCTATCTGTGACATCAGAATGTGTAAGAATACTTGCACATGCATTAGAATATAATACAACGTTAAAAATTCTTAATTTAAGTCGTAATGAAAATATTAAAGATGATGATATTGTATATTTGGCTCAGGTACTTTTCAATGATATACGATTCTGAGTTTATTGCTCGTCGATCGTGAAAATATGTCAGAAAAATGGACTGGATAGATGAAAAAATCCCATATCGTATGTATATAATTCTTCTTCATTTGTGAACTTGAATTTGGCATGCGATCATATTTGATGTGTATTTTTTGCAGGATCAAAAGATTTTTATGAAATTTTCTTAGTGGTATTTTGATGGGATCACGATTGTAACTTGTTGTATGAACGCCATTTCAATTTATTATGGTGACATGTATTTTACTATTAGTAGAATTACATGTATGTATACTTGATAATGACAATTAAAAGTTTTATAATTTTCTCAATGCCAAGAAGTTTTTTCGTCGGTTTGACGATCTTGAATGGACGAATAATTGTCTAATATCATTAAAGGACGGCCTTTTGTGGTAATGGTGAATAGGGCTGGCTCATTACCTTTACTATTATTAGTAATCTTGTTACTTATAACCAGTCACAAAGTAACAAAGATTTGTTACTTTGTTTTTATTACTTTGCTACTTTTTATGAAGTAATAAGGCGATAGATTCTTTTCAAAAACAATTGTTTATCATTCCTAAAGTGTTCCTGACATTCCCGTATTAAAATTTATCGTCTTATTACTTCGTCAAAAGTAACTCTTCGACACACGTGTCTGCCCGCTTTCCAGACATATGAACACTCATATAATATAATATCATACACGGCTTGGCTACACAACCTTGCTAACTTCGTTTTTGTTTCTGTTACAGTTTTCGAATAAAAACACATATCCATAGTTCAAGTGCAAGTCAACTCTGAAAGTTATCTCTATTGAAACGAAACGAGACATGAGGCGTTCAAACATATTTTCAAATATACTATATGCGAAACTGTTGCTGAAATCGTGATGACAGTCTTCCTTTTTTTAGATTGATTCAAACTACTATTTTCAGCGAAATGCACCATTTACTATTTAGCGTGATCATTATGGTACGATTTGTGCATAATCGTACGATTCAACAAGATCAAATACTACGGTTCATCGATGTAAATAATTCCCGTTTAATTTTTTTTGTTTCTGTTTTCGCTTATACCTTGAATAAATAGATAATAAAAACAACAAATCGTTACGGTGCATTGATTCTACAAAAGCATTGGTATATACATATAATATACATTACAATCAGTAATGTTTAATATTCGTTCTGCAGAGGTACACTGATAAAAATGTCACATTACAAAATATTAACGTTAACCTTGTTTATTCTTGTACTTTTTAAACACGTTAATAATTTAGCTATTCAACAATCGATAACCGCTGGTGAAAAAGTCTTATTGAAAAGTTTAAAAAGTCAGCTTAATGATTTAATTGCCACATTTAAAAAGCAGCTGATTGCTAAGTTTATATTAATAGATAATACAACGATTACACCATTGTTAGCTACATTTGCGGTAATGAAAAAGAATCTTAACGATATTCCGAATTTACCGTCATGTCTTGCGAAACAGGAACCAGTACTTAACAAATCAGTTAATACTATAATACAAATGCGTACAACCGTTAAGACAAAACAAGTACAGCCTGAATTATTACAGCTAACAAAAGTTGCAAATGGTATAATTAATAATAAGATAAACAAATTGTTACAGACTACTACTAAAGTAAATGTTAACAGTTTGGTGAATCAGACACGTAGTATAAGAACGGATATTAACAACATATTACTACAATCACTGAAAATTATCGGTCAATTACGAAATATTGTGAACACAAACTTTGGTTTCATATTCAACATGTTTAGTGTTATGGTAACTTGTATTTTACATGCTAATAATAATAAATTACAAATTTACAATACATTTTTAACATCCACTGAAAAAGGAAATGGTCTTACATCAAGTCTCGATGGTCAACTTAGTTCATTATTGGGAGATTTACAAGATTATTCAATTACTTTTGGAAGAGTATCTCTTGAAACAATCGACGATATACTGTATAAAATTACTCTTCAACTGATTTAACGTCTTGAAACATCACTTAACATTTGAGAAAAACTGCAGTTTATATTTGAACTTTGTCAGCATTTTAGTACAATTATTCAAGAAAATAAAACACTTATTACGTAGAAAGCAAAAAAATCTAACCACAACTAAGTACATCAGGGTAATTCTATCGAGAGCGTACTAGACTTTACATCGACTTCATCCGGATCGTTTCAAACTTTCAGAACTAGTAGCACTTAATGTTCTGAAGCCGAAAATCACCTCAGAAAATTTTTTAAATGATGGCATGGTAGGTTTCGATCTATAATTAATTCTAAGAGCTTTCCCAGCCCAAATCCGATTTTTAGTGTTTTGTCATTTTAATTGATAGAAGGCTGAAACTTTCAGAGTAGATACTGCACAGTGGGCATACAGCCAGACATTAGGCAGAAAATCGAAGTTTTTCCTTTTTCAGATAGAAATAGAGCAAAATGTAGCTCTTTCAAAGGGCTGTCGAACGGTATATAAATGTCTATTGTGAAAATGGATCCTTCGACCAGAAAATAGTATACAAAAAACATGAACAAATACGACATCTATACACAAAAAATACGATTTTTCACTTTCACAGCTATGTTATGCAATTTTAAAGCACATATTCGGAATCAGCATGTCTTCAGCTATCTTTTCATAATAAAATGTTGCTACTTTAACACAAACTTCACCAAGTAA